TCAGATTTAAATAGAAATTTTCAGTTGGGATATAAATCGATTTTGCAATCCACGTTAAATTATATTTCAAACATGTAGTATATCCACGACCAAGATAAACTTACAATAATGATGGATTGATTTTTTTTCTAAATTACACATTGAATGTAGGCTGTATATTTAAGGAAGAGGGTGAGACTGGACGTGGACAACAGGATCGAACTGGGCAACAATGCATTTAGAAAATATAAATGAAATTTATACGGCCGATCCTCGATCTTGAACAGAAGATAATGCGATTCTTGTGTTACACCTCCCATTACAAAGGAACAACTTGCGTTCATGCACGCGACACGTGTATTTCGATCATTATATGCCGGTTTGCTTCTTCATAGATTCGTTGCTAAATTGCGAATATTTTGATGGTATTGATTGTGGAATCGAAACACACGTCGACCTCTTGTCCGGTCAACAATGCTGGACCTAGCGATATTTCGAGAAAATGAGGTACATTTCCAACACACTTAAGTATCACCCCTAAGTCGTCTGGATAGCACGTAAACAAATTTCATTACATAACATTTAATGCAATCTGAAGCAGCAAAAACCTATCGGACCAAGAAACATATTCCCTAGACGGCTTAAGTAGTCAGAAGGCAAGTAATATCAAGCACAGAAATTTATATCGCTTGTCAACACGATGCATAACTTTTCAGAATAACTCACGTAGAGTGCGATCAAGGACCTATAAGATCGGGTGAAGATTATCACTCTACTGATCCCCTCCCCTCCACGTATTTCAAACATGGTCAAGTTCAACATCGACCATGAAATTAAAAAGCTCGTAGACTGCCTCTACGTGGGGTCACAAATTAATCAACAATTTACATCATCACGGAGAGGGTGTCCTTTATTGGAAAGCAAGTCGTCTTAGATATAGTATACATTCGACACCGAACAAATTTACGATCATTATTTGGCACACTACGTAGAACCGAGACTTATCTGGGTATTGATAGCCGCAAGTATTTACGTAGCGGATCTGTAACGTAAAAATGGAAAAGAAGTTCAACAAGTCGTGTTTCGTCTTCTTGACGAATTGACCAGGACTGTATTCGTGTCGGCTAACCAAACAAGCATTCGCTACTGACGGTACTTTTACCCGATAAGAGTCCAAAGATTAGCTTGCTTTTCGAATATCGCATTTCATCCGTGATGGCCAATATACACGGGATTTATTTGTATGAGTGAGGAGTGATTGCTTGCGGTGTTTACCTAATGTCTCTGATATTAGTTATCAATAGTTTTTGTCTGACACTTATATCAGATGGAAAAGATAAATGTGTACGTTTGACAGATTATCCTTCATACTAAACGAGCAAAAAAGTAACGAAGCGTATTGTCTCCAACCATTCTATACCACTTGGATTCCGCATCATCAGTTTAACATTCCAATTTAATCGCTCGTATCAAACCATTGTTTTCATAATAGCACCATAATAGAAACATTATTGAGATGAATATGAGCGATACACATACAGGCTTCGTTTAGTGTCACACAACTACTTTCGTTTTGACTTCTTTTCCACTCCATCGCTCCTTGGTATCGGATAATACATTCATACGAATTGTTCTAACAACATATTCGCATGTTACGGACGCTGTCAGTATACATTTTTCAAAAAAATGTCGTGGGCAAATCTACATTCTTCTACCCATTTTTTGTCGCAGTATGCATTCACAGGAGTTTATAACGGGTCACCAATTTTGTTTTATCAATCATGATCTACGTGTTCGTTTGTCGGAGTAGCGTAAGGGATACTTGCACGTTGATTCTTTAGTTTAAATAAACCAGGGACAATCATTTTTGGACGCAAAGCCATTCCTAGACGAATAAAGCTAAATACTATCAATATAATGCAAACACCATAGTCAAGGTTATTTCACAATGTAACTTAAGTACACAGAAAGATGATATAACTTGCATCCGCAGCAGCTAGATCATAGGTAGTAAGACTTCACTTTAATATTCCAACGGTGCCGCGGATGCGCAATTTTCATGCTGCGATCAGTAACAGGTTTAATTTGCCCATTATTTTAATATGCAAGATCCTTATATCATTATCGACGACTAGAGCGCTGGCTGTATCATTCTCACCAGCATAAGTAAGAAATTGAAGGCAGAAAAGCGCATCGCCTCTGCATCTGTGTCAATGCTTATGGATAATCATAAATGTTTTGCTACTATTAGCTTCTTTTGCAGGTTGGTTTCCATTATTCAATATTCTTTGAACTCGAATGAAGCAATCGTATACTCAACTAAACATTCGGTAGTTATCGTATTTTAAATGAAAGATCATCCGCCATCGCATTAATGAATCGCAAACAAAAAGTTTTGTTCGTTCAACAAATACACATTGATTCTTCTTCATTTATCGTTGGTCTGCTCTCCCCAATTCACCTCATTCTTCATTCAAAATCTAAATTTCTAAGCGTGAAAGCTTTAACATTTAATCTTTACGCGTCTAGACGTATATGAGGGTATGAAGTAGACATACTTGGACTCTCAGGTAAAAAAAACTTCGGGTAGGAAATGATTTGTTGAAAGGTGTCGAGGTGTTAGTATCAGAATACGAATTCATTTAAGTGTTATAAACCAATGTGCTCAAACTTTGTGCGCTTTCTCCCTCATTCATTTGTATTTGTCTTTTTGTGTATATTTTGTCGTCGCTGAATAGTAATCAGCACGAGAAAGAACCCAAAATAGTCTTTGAATACGTCAAGGTTTACCAGTTGCTGTACAAGACGAAAAAATGACAGCTGGTAAATTTTTCAGATCGGAATCGATAATGAAGATAGTCGAAGTTATCTGCACAGATGACACTGTATAGAGGTGGACTAACCTTTACGTCAATGAGCTTTCGATGGTGAATCATTAAACCGAAGTGTAAGCTTGTTCGTACGAGAGAATCGCATACCAATTGTTATGGTTGGCAATTAGAAGTGTGTCACCGACCGTAAAGACAATACTGCCATCGACAATATTTTATAACAATTTCCACCACATATTTTTATTGAACAGTATCCGCTGTTTTTACTTTCAGTAAATGCGCACACAGCTTATTTTTATAGAATATCGGTCAGTCGAATCAAAATCTCAGATCGCATCATGAAAATCAGAGGTATTTGAACCAAAAGAAAGTAAAACAAAAGTATAACACATGCAATCAATTATACAAAAAAACGCGAAAGTGAGATAAATCAAAGTAAAAAATGATGCACTAAAATAGTAGATATATTAAAAGCAGACAAGATGGCGATAATGAGAAGAACGGATCATCGATATAATTTTGAGATTAAATGTACATACTTTTTAGCAATACATATACAGTTCTTACGTACGACTTCATCAATTGACCTTTTATTATGGTAACCAGAGTCAATACGTTTACACGCGTCGATCGACGTTTTTCTCGAAACTTTAACCGTATCTTAGCATTGTTGTAATATGCTCAATGATAAGGTTATCTTTCTTTTGACCATTGATCACCTCTTGTAAATTGGCATCGTATTTATTGTAGCTGTCGGCTTAATCTGCTAGATATGGATGGGAAAGTACAGCAGTGAATTCGAATGGCTCGTACACCATAGTTTGCTAGAATAAAAAGGCACGACCCGAAGCAGCGAATAACGACGTACAAAAGCAAAAACACTTATAAGATACGACTTTAAATTCACGACACTAAATTGATGCTATCACATGTGGTCATGTGGATACTTGTGGGCATAAGATTGAATGTACCCTCACACATTACGAAGATGCTAATAATACTATTTAAGTCTATGTTGCTATAAAATTGCGATACGGATACAACATTGTTATCGGCAGTGGAATATGTTATGCAAAAAGCGTAGAAGCTTCGTTTTCTTACCTTACAACAAAGGTGACCTACAATCAACCTTAACAACATGGATCTATACATTCTTTCAAAGTCGTTTTACCAGTGCGAACATTGAAATATGGTACTTGCGTCGTAGAGTTCAAATATCTGTGGAAAAGGTACCGGCGTGCCAAGAGATCTCCTAATATACATATCTGTAGTGGTAAAACAAATCGTGATCGTTTTGTTCATATTTAGTATTTTCTGGCAATCTGGCGACTTGAGGAAACGGGGTTTTCCGTCTGCGTCCGCTAAATAGTATGTGACAGTAAAAAGACCTCGTCTGTATCATAATATTGTATCTGACTGAACCATATCTATATCTATTAAAAAATTATGTTGCCGTCAGCAAGGGTGCGTTTGTCTATAGTTTATAGTGGGATAGGGATCGAAAACATGTAATTGAATGAATGTCAAAAGTTATAGGTATGCGTTCATTTGTCTTGTAATACACGTTCTAGGCATAATTTATGTATTTAATCGAATTCTTTTCATAATTTACATCTTGTAGTCGATCTTTCATTATTTGCTGCATATTTTATTTTATCTTCGACGTTTGTCGATGTCGTGGTCAAGGGTCACCCCGTTGCATGCACCAGAGTAAAGCAATGAACCTAAAGCTAAGGAAATATGCTACAATTCTGCAGTAGAGCTTGTGCGTGGGGTTACTAGCATGTGTAAGGTTTTGCGTGCGTATATATAACAAGTAAAGCTGAAATGGTGGCGATGTTGTAGTATGACAAGTGCTGGCGAGCAACTTTTCAGCAACAGGCGCATTCTGTACGACCCGACGCAGCAGATATCGCGAGACATGCGAGCCGTTGCTTTGTTGGCCAAGTTACAATCATATTTATGCTTCAGACTTTGATTGGTGCACTTTTGACACAGACCCAAAATCCCGGCATCAACAAGTTTGAATTGCAAGCCACAAAGGAATGTTGCCTAGTAAGCGACACCAAGTAGGATTGGTCAGACGTATCGTAGGTATTGCACCCACGACTAAGTAAACGAAGCACAGGGTTCTTCGATACGAATCACAAATTTACAGCAGCAATTATTACTAGTCCTACTATCGACTAGCTACGATTTACTGCCATACAGAATCAAGTCGAGCTCTTCATCAAGGTTTTCACTCAATTTATCCGGCTTTGAGTTTTCTTCGCCCACTGCAATCGGATGATGCTCTGTAATCTCCAGTAAGTCTTCCCAACCAGCGTCAGCGTCTCCCAATTGGTTGATACAACAAGTTGTAGGGTTGCCTTTCTCCTTCCACAGCTCTTTGAGTTTCGTTTCAATCTCTTTGGCATATTGGGACTTCTCCACACCTTTACTTAGCATCGCCGCAAATATATCTTTGCCCAACTTCTTTCTCAGGTACGCCGGCCAAGAGGTCTGGGAGCCAGCAACTTCCTTGTTGTGCAGCTTAACAAATTGGATGAACGTATCCAGATTTTCGTACGTCAGACCATCCTCCCCCAATTCGGAAACCTCCAGCATGTCGTAAACTTGGTCGACTGTTTTTTCACTCGTTAGCCAATTCTTGATGACCGCATCCCGCAACTGCATTGCTCCGTTTCCAATTAATTGGCTCTTTGACGCGATCGACAGAGCAGTAGAAAATTTAGCCCATCCATCAAAGACTATCAAAACGTCATCCAGCTCCTGCAACGCCTCAGCTTCATTCTCGGTGTATCGTTTAATGAAATTGTCCAGCATTTTTCGCTGCACTTCGAAGTTGACTTTTGGTTTCCTCTTTCTCTTAGCGAACCTGCCATTTTTTCCTGCCGTACGGCGTTTCGATGCACCTTTTTTTGTTGTGTCCCTAATGTAGAGCATTGCCTTCAGAACATGCTCCATGCCGTCTTTGTGGTTCGAAAAGTCTGTAATCATATTTTCCACGGCAGTTTCACGGTCGAGGTCGCAATATTTTAGCATGTCGGCACTGGAGAGCTTCGCGACGGACTGCTCTGCAACGTGCGTATCGAATAGTTCTAGCAGCGTGCGACCGGTTTCTGTGAGCGTGTCTTCGGAACGATAGGCAAGCAATTTCGTCTTGATGTCACGCAAAAATTTTCCATGCAACTTGAGTAACGCTGTCTTGGCTAATTCGTCGCCTAGCATCCTCTCTTCTCCATTCTTGCTGCCGTGTTCCCATGACTGCCGATCGTCACGGACTCTGTCGTAGTCAACGACTCCAGAACGGTTCGTGTTCGCCAAAGTAGCTTCCATTCCCTCAAAGCCGAAAGCGTTTGCGATGTCTGTCACGACAGCAGCAGTCAGGAGAAGAGTCATGTAGGCGCGCATCGTTGTTGGTCAGCGCCGCTTTTCGTCACTGAAACGAGTGATGAAAAGTCGGAATTACCGGAAGCGTGAGGAGCAGAGCCATTGAATAACCTCAGTGAGTGGCCAAATTTTAGAGCACATAAATGCGACAGTTTTATCTGGGTTGGTATGGCATCTCTCAGCATCTCGAGTCGGTGCTTTTATTGACAAATGAACGACCTGGAAGCCGGGTCTCTATATCGGGTAATAATCGGGCGACCTTTATCTTGCATCCCCTCAAATCGTGGGTGCGGTTGCGACAAGGACTTGCAGAAGAGGGGGGTCTCATTGCTAACAGATGTCGGGAATGGGCACAACTCATCTGACGCTTCGATATGCAGGTACTTCATTCACACATTGAGGCGATACAAGTCGCTTGTTTCTCGCACGAAGAGCTCGAGCAATACTATCTTTCCCAGTTTATAAGGTCTGGTCGTAATAGCAATTTGCTAAACTGCGCACCGCGCACTTTTGCGATTTTATCCACATTGCCCATCCTGCGAAAATCAATAATCGCGGATCTTGCGTTTCCCCTTCACCGTGTAACTTTTTGCTCATCCTTGTTCCCAGTATTTGGCGTTCAAGCTCAACTTAATCCAAGTCTTCGTTCTTCATAACGGGCACCCCGTTTCGACGGGAATCCTTCCTCTAGAAGCCGGTGACGGCGGGGTTCGTATCGGGCATGCCTCTTGCGCGATAACCGGTCGTCTGACGGCAGGTCAGAGAATGGCACGAACGCCAGCGGCATCCCCGCGTACGCGATATATTCCCGGCGGCCTCTCAAGCAACTTCGACGGGCCGCAGGGGCGGTGCAAAGTAAGGGGAACACATCGCGACACGCGCTATCGCCCAATCGCTTGCACATTTCCGATAATGGACCAATCGAGCGGCCTATGAGGACATGAACACGCTCAGTGGTATGCTCACTGGCACAGTTGGACAATCGCGAGAGCGTCACTGATGGTAACTAGTCTCGTACAAACCTTGGACTCGGCTGAGCGCTGGCGTTGACATTTAGGCTACAGTTACATATACTGTGCAAACACTGATGATTGAATCGACATGCTTCTCTTCAAATAAAATCACCCACGGTACGCGGAGCTGGTGTTTGCGATGAAAGGGATGCATGAGAAGTAAGTAGAATATCAACGGGTGGCAGCGCTTGCCATTGGCGTGATGGTCAATACCGCTCTTTACAAAGCAACAAACGGATTATTTGGGAATAGCGCCGCATAGCTCAACTATGAGCTGATAAAGCTCAGCTGGCGGTAGAAAACAATAGCCGATGATGGGTGTTCAATCGAAGCTGCTTGATTAAATGACTAATGCAGCAAATTTTGAGGACAACATGGCCATGAACACTACTCTCCAGCACACTCTAAACGGCTTCGACGCAACGTCGTGTCATGGCTGGATCGCTGACGTACTCTCGCTAAAGCGTTTCGTGGATAGCCTGCTGCACCATGCTGTTCTTGTGCCGATGTTTGCGCACGGTATCGAGGCTGAAAGCACTCGTGAAGACCCATAGAGGCCTTCATCAGAAAAAGAAACAGTCGAGGCTGGCACATTCTCGATCGAGAAAAGGTCTTCTGAGGCGACAGTTCGCGTACTATGCCCTCAACCATGCCTATCAGCCCCCAACCATCCCGCGCAGAATGAACAAGTATCGATGGTCGTTGGGAGATCCTTTGTCTTTACGTGCGCACCTTGACTAAGCTTTGAGAGGGTCAATGGCAGAGTGATTCCAGCGTTGTGTTGTATAAAGAAGAGAACTTCCTCTTGCTCAAACGATGTGTAGGTTGTGACTAATTCGACAACAATATGATGGAAGAGTCGCTATGTACGAGCACAAAACGTCGTTGTGCTGTCGTAGGTGCAGTGTAACGGGGCAGCCCATTACATGGAAATTGTCACTTTAAAGAAAATGACAATAAATAAATATTAAGTTGAATATTCTTTGAACAATATCACCAATAGTGGTGATATTGAAGGGTCGACCAAAGAGTCTGTTCATTGGTTGATATCATGATGATATCAACCCACCAATCGCCGCAAGACGCGCGCAATGAGTGGTGACGAGACGTCACCATACACTCAGTTACATTAGCATAATTAAGTTAAGTCAAACAGAGAGACAGTAGTTAAAGACTTAATTATATTAATATAACAGTTCTACTTTTCCCTAAGACAGTGTTGCCTCTGTCTTACCGACCGCTTCCTCGGTTGCCTCGTGTACGCTTGTCGGTGCACGGTACCCTTGCGTTAAGTTCACGCAAGGGTGTGCCCCGTTACAGTAGCCTATCTTGTAACGCCGCGTGGTCGTACTAGCTGATGTAGTCTAAAGAGACACTGTTTGCAATTTTTGATAATCGAGCAGCTAGTGGACAAAGCGTTTAACTACAACAGTATTCATATCATTTGTCTGTGGACACTTTCGCTGCATCAGAGCAAGGGAAGCTCTGCACAAACACGACAACGACTAGCACAAATATCTATAGATGCCCAACCTTTTGAGTGACTACGTGCACAATGCAAGTGCGTCAAACAAAGCTTTATAACTTTGGAGGGAAAGCGAGGCACAAAAGCGCTCGAATCTAAAATGTTGTTCAAAAGACGATATAATGACTGGGTGACAAAGCGGTATTTGTGCACGCCAGTGATAAATTGACATTGGCGAAATCCAAACTTTTGATGTGCGCATCAAGTCTGTTGGTAATCTGCAAAGTGCAGAATCATGAAATCTGACTATCTAGGGATAGAGAATATGCCAGCGGATCTACGACGTAAGCATTGGCGGGGCCGACGTCAGACAATATCGTTAAGAGGCAGGCTTACATATGATCGGCCGATGTCAATGGTGACGGAGCAAGAATCATGCGTACCGGCTGTTAGGATAGTGCATACGGGGAGTAATGCTGTCGGATAATGAATTGGAGTACCAAGTTTATTTGCGCTGAGCCTCTGCGGGGGTCCCCATAGTGTGACTACCATGCAGGCTTGGCACTAGCGAAGAGGTCATGAGCGCCCAGATTCGTTTTTCATACTCGGCTTTTCACAGTGGACGCATGGGCAAGAAAATAATAAGGCAAACAGGTTTCATCCGTTACAAGAGGATTTCTGTGCGATGAAAGACTGGAGAAGGTCATGGGTTTTAGCATCTTTGTTGAACATTTTCCAGGAGTCTAGAGTATTTAACTTTTCGCTCGATGGACGCTTAGCAACCACGTTGATGCTACACTCCACACTTGCAGAATAGTGGGCGCAAATGATGTACTGCTGCATCTCCTTTGTATCTGAATCAAATACATTGCACTGGCCATTTCACCTGTATCGGAATTCCGGCCGGAAATGATATCAGAAACGCTGTGGACCGTCACGACGGAGAGGGCCGTATGAAAGCGCATTTTTAACCTGCTACAAGGTTCTGATTGGAACCACGCGGATACTCGCTCGAAGTTTCTTCCACTCTCACATTAGCAGGTAGAACCGACTGGCAGCATACACACAAGCCATCACGTGACGTTTCAGATCGCGTTTCATTGATGTTTCACTGAAACGTCACGCCCATGACCTCAATGCGTGCTTCGTCACGTCATGGGAGCTTAGTCGCACTAGATGAAGTAGCTTTGCTGACATTTCTTAACCGACGGATCTGCAACAAAGACGACAGCAGAAAACTCAAAGACTCCTTGCTTGATTCAAGCACGCCAGTCCTTCATCGGTGGTTTCCCAGTGATGGAAGCTCTTAAGAGTTATTGGGTGCTTTTTTAGCAATCAGAGCGCGTAGAAAGTCGCGCGGGAATTGCATGGAAGAGCGGAATGACCAGAGATGCCGCGACACGTGATCATGGTCTGGACAGCAGCATGTCATGAGTGACGACCGTACTTACTCCGATAAGCAGTCTCCCACTATATGATAATATCCCAAAGAATCTTTAGATCGGGCGCTTATCGACCCAGTCGTTAATGGCCACTATACTTTGTGTCATAAATCATAGCCAGGATGGACCATACAAGTACACAATCGAGATTTTCTCAGAAATGTCGTCGGCTCAAGTTTACCCAAATAGGATTCGTAACGAACACACATCGTTGTTGACTATATGTCGACCAAAGAGGGGAATCTACTCAAACTAGTATCAATGGCGGATTGGGTGCTGCAGAGCGTTGCAAATGTCGAGCTGGAGGCCGCAAATACAGCGAGCAGCTCGGTGCGTTTCTTGGACCACGTGAAACAAAGGCGGGCAAAATGGAAAACGTCGATCGTTTCGGCTCTGGTGCATATTTCGCGATTGGTGCTACATGAAGAGGCTATCCAGTAGTCATTGTTTGGAACGAAAAAAGCTGAGCCTTGACGATGGTGAGTTATCGGCTATCCGTGATATCCGGCGTGACCGCGTCACTTGTGAGGAGACGATGTCGATCACGGCATAACTAGGCTTTCACAAAAATTCAGACTGCATGAAATAGAGAATAGGTGTATCTCAACCCTTCGAACACGTGCCAAACCTGTCCTAGAGTCTGTAAAACAATGCGTTGCTACCGATTCGTAGACTTATGAACCTGGCGTTCGTTGCCTGTCATGTCTGGATAGTTTGCTTGATGGTGTAAAGAATAGTCCCTTTGTTTGCTACGGCCGCACTTTCTGGCATGTCACTTGATTTAATACGACAGGTGTGTAGTGCACATGCAAGTATGTGTGTAGAAGGCAGATAAAACTCGATAAGTTTGACCCGTCACTACATTACTGTCATCATGTGATGTGGCTTGCCGTGGGCGCAGTAATCATGGCCATGTTCTGCACACCAATGTTGACGACTACCATCTGACAAACATCAGTCGCCATTGGCTTCTTCCGGCAGCTGGACCCTTGTTCACAAGTGCCAAGCAGCGGCAGCGGTCTTCCCCGATATCCCATGTTCCGTCTGTTTGCACACTTTGGTCACATTCGTCGAAAGACGAGCGACGTGCGTCGGCGGCACCACCAGATTGGCGCTCTCCAACTGCTCCTTCCTCTTCTGGCCGTTCGAGTGGGGATCAAGTGCAGCATCCCCAGCTCCATTCACGTATCATGCGACAAGGCCAAGCTCCGCACATGTTTTTGGTCAAGAAAGGACAACAGGATTCAAACAATGTCGACTTTGCCTATCGCTGCTTCGTGCCGAGGCAAAGCGAACCAAAAAACACTGATCGGCAAAAAGCGGCTCTCAGGGCTTCAACGTCGTCGCCGGGCCACGTTGAAAACGGCAAAGCGCCAGATCCGAACGACTCGAACCTCCGTCGTCCGCACGCCCCACGCCATTTTGGCGACCCACCCACAAAGCACTTTTTTCCACGCACGACCCTCCCAACGCCGCCAGTCACCGCCACAACCAAAGCGTCGACCGAACCCACACACAGACACAGTCACACAGCCACACAGCCACACAGTCACACAGCCACACAGACAATTTCCGAGCCGCCGGTCCCATGCGCTCGCACTCGGCGTCCAGCCCCAGCCCCAGCCACAGCAGCCACAGCACTCTGCGCCGCCTCTTCTCGCTCAGCCACCACCAGTCCCACCACGAGCAGCAGCACCCCACGCACCCGTTCACCCACTCGACGCACGCGTCGCGCGCCGCTGCTCAACAGGCGCACGCGCGGCGCAAGCGCCGCATCGACTCGTGGACGCTCCCGGAGCTCTACGCGCTGCGGGAGCTCGTGCACGTGGCCACCAACAAGACGCCCGTTGCCGCCACCGCACAGCTGCCGCCGCCGCCGAATCGCACGGCCCGCGGCGACGCCTACAGCTGCATTGGCGCCGGCAGCGCCCCCAGCTCGAGCTCCACGGCCACGTCGGCCCCGCCGTCGCTATCATCAGACGACGCAGGGGAGCAGCTGCCGACGCTGCCGTCGTTCCAGCTCGACACGGCGCTCGTGCACAGCAAACGCTTTTACTTTTGCCAGCGCGCCGACGCGCGGCTGCAGCTCCAGTCGCGGCGGCAGTTTGTGCGGCTGTTCCCGGCGCTGGGCCGCACGTCGAAAGCCGCGCAGCGTGCGCTGTTCCAGGCCTTTGACGCCAACTGGTCGGGCAAGATCGAGTTTGAAGAGCTGTGTGAGATGCTGGCGCGCGTGACGCGCGCGGGCGCGTCGGCTGTGCGCGAGATGGCGGCGCTCGTGTTCTCGTGGTTCAAACGCGACCACAACAGCGCGGGACTATCCCGTGCCGACGTCCAGTTGCTTGCAACAACGGTCGTGGAACTGGATGGTGATGCGAGTGTGCTGACGGAAGGCGGCAGTGCTTACAGTACTGCTGCTGGTGCTGGTGCCGGTGCTGGCGATGCGGACGCTGATGACGTCGCTGTGGACGTTGTGGCGTGGCTGATGCAGTTGGTGCTGCTTCATGGACGATCGCAGTACGTGACAGAAGCGGCTTTTTGCGAGAAAATGGACTGTGCATTGGGTGTGCGAGTGCTGCAGGTGCTGTTTGCACCGTTTGATGTGGTGAGAGCAGTGTTTGAGGACGAGAAGCTTTTGCACGACGTGGACGATGAAATGCAGTGGCAACCGGGTATGATGGCGTACGTCGTGTCGAGTCGTTGGTGGGCACAATGGCAGCAATATGTCCGATCAGGGAAAGACTGGCAACCTGCGCTGCAAGGAGAGCCACTGGACGAGACGATTGACAGTAGTCGATCGGGACAGGAAGCTGGAGACCAACCGGTGCAGGAGCAAGAACAAGAGCAAGGGAAGAACAACGCATACGAGCAACAGATTCGACGAATGCCAGCGAGTTGCTGTCGTCCTGGGCCGATTGGGAATCGCGATATTTGTGTGAACGAACAGCTGGGAACCTTGCGACGGGGTCTTGTTGAAGGACGGGATTTTGTTTTCGTGTCAAGTGGCGTCTGGAAGCGACTGCTACTAACGTATGGGGGCGGACTCAGCTATCCCCGACGGATTGTAGAGGTACGTTCACCTAGCGAACGGCAGGACTTGCTTCCGGACAAGGAGAAGCACCAGGAGCGTGACATCGTCACTGCGACGTTGACGTTTAGAGGAGGCCAAGTACGGAAGCAAGTCAAGGTGGAGCTGTATCCGGTGTTGCTGCAGGTTCGTCTGGCGCGACACGATTCAAGGCACGTGTACTTGGTGTACGCTCAGCGATTCCTTCTCCACCGCACTTCTTCAATAAAGGAGATTGTGCATCGAATGGGCATTTTTCCAGGCATGAATGCAAAAGAAGTGTCGCTATGGCTGCGTCGTCGCCGTCTCCACGATTGGGTGCCGCTTGAATGTGATCTCGAATCCCCGGACGCCACTTTGAGTGGATTGCAAATTACAAGCGCTCAAGAACTACTTGTGGACTTTCGAGCAATGGATATCGATTGCGACCCGCACAGTATCGCGCAGCAATATCGGCGGAGTTGCTTGACAGCTATGCTTCCTCGAACGCCTTTCAACGTTGCTATGCTACAACCCGTGGGCAACGACTTCGTCTACTGTCCTGGCACAAGTCGTGCCGCTTTTGCTAAAACAGGTGATTGGAAGGTCTTGCGCAAAAGCATGGCTGCCGAACAGGAAGCTGCTGCTAGAGGATCGTCAGTATCCGCAAATGTGGGTTCTGATGGTGTTCTTGTTGGGCTCACCAGACCAATGGAACCGACAACGAGAACGTCTTGTGGGAGACTGGTTCAACACGCTGGTCTTCGAGCCACAGGACTCATTAACATGGGGAACACTTGCTTTATGAACAGCGCACTTCAATGCATCGTTCACTCGCCAGTGTTCCGTGAGTACTTCTTGTCGAATCGATTCGAGCCAGACGTGAACAAAAAGAACCGTCTTGGCAGTCGAGGTGCAGTTTCCACAGCGTTCGCACAACTTCAGACTGCTCTCTGGCGTGAGCGCGATCGAGGCTATCTCCGTCCTAGTCGGTTTCGAGACGAATTTACGCGAGTGTGCCGTCATTTTGAGGAGACGCGTCAGTATGATGCTCACGAATTTATGGTTGCTCTTCTCGACTGTCTGCACGAGGATCTAAACCAGAGTTTTCGGGCCTTGCCAGCGTCTATCGACGACTTGATACAGACAAGAAGCTCGAAATGTTTTAGTTTTGGCAGGCTGACAGGAAGAGGTATCGTGGAAAGTGATGACAATGATGATGAAGACGTGGAGGCGTATCGTGAAGCAATAAGCGCTTCTTCCGATGAAGATCATGGTGACGCAGCTTGGCGTGAGTATACAAGCACTAACTCTTCCATCGTGGTAGACCTGTTCCACAGTCAAATGCGTAGCGAGACTGTATGTGGTACATGTAGCGGGCGTAAGTGTACGTTTGATCCGAACCTGTTTTTCAGTCTTCCCATCCCAGAATCGAAATTTGTACGTGTGGAGGTAAACGTGCTGTTACAAGCCCGGAAGTTACCGAGTGGTGTTGACGATGAGAACGATACAGAAGTTGCTTTACAAGCGGAGCAGCGTGGTTACTGGCTTCATCGAGGAAGTCAGGTGGGTGTACTGTGCGATCGTATTGCAAAAGCGTACGGGCGCGCAAGTGGAAACTGTTTTTTGCTCGTGGAGGTACGTCGAAATCGCATCAAGCGGATCGTCGAGGAGGACGAAATGGTCGACAAACTAGCCGCTGCTGCTCCTGGCTCGATCGCTGCCTATGAGCGTGCGTGGACTCTTGCCGATGTTCCCAGTGTACCTGCTATCATAAGCGAGTATTACAGCACGTGTGCGTTCGGTGGAGGTTACGCGAATGCAAATAGACGTGCTCATGAAAGAATCAGACATTTTGCTGACCTTCGCGTGGGCTCCCGTGTTGATGCACGAGACAATCATAACAACTGGCATTCCGGCACGGTGATCGATGTAGTCGGCAGTGATGAGCTTGACGAGCATTCTGTTTCAACGAAGCACTTTAGACGCGTGTACGTCCACTTCGATTCCTTCAGCAGCAAGTGGAACAAGTGGTTTACAGCTCGTGACTGGAAATCAAAACGTCTTAAGCCTCTGGATACTCGAAAGCCTACAGCGACAGAAGTGTTCGAGGTGCAAGTCGTACACCGGTACGTGTTGCAGTCCAGTTCGGTTGGGGTGCCTGAGTCCGGGCAGACAAGTGGCGACGGTCACCCGTTTACCGCCAACCATCCAAATTCACAAAAGCTGAGCAATGTGTCCACACACGAGCGTCCAATTTTGAACGTGTTTGGTACGCCCTTGTTCGTGACCATTGCGTCCGACAAAACTGCACGAGATATGCATCAGGCTCTATTGCTGCAGACTGCTCGTTTCTGGCGAAGTTTCACCAGTGATTTCAAGCCTACTGGCAATAACATCGACGAAATGGCTGAGGAAACATTGTTGCCGTATGAGGTTCGAATCGTGAATCTGGACAACTTGGCTAGCGAGCGTGGTGAGCTTCTGCCCGTTGACTTTAGTGCACTGCTGCCGCATTTTTCTACGCGTACTGTTCTTGCGCTGGACTGGGCAAGTAATCTTGACTACAGTAGCCGCGAAGTATGCGTAGCCGATGATGCTCCAGCAGAAGTGATGGAGGCAGCTAGCGCGGATCCAGACTTGCGTGCTGACCTTGAAAGCAGTGCGTTACCTAACCAACAAAAGACAGCAAGCAGTCAAGAGCGCTCACAGGTTGTGGATGACGAACGTTCACCAAGCTGCGCTATCCCGTTGACAAAGTGTATGGATGCTTTGATGCGCGAAGAGTCTATTTCGCTCGACGACCATTGGATATGCGAACAGTGCGATGTTCCTCGCGAAGGCACGCGGCTATCCGCTATTTGGCGGCTTCCTGACCTCGTGATGATACAGCTCAAGCGATTTGAGTACCTTGAGAATCAGCACAAACGGAAGGTGCGAGCACTCGTCGATTTTCCACTGAAGGGGCTCGACTTTTCAAAATGGATGAGCCACCATGACAGTGCAGACTCGTCGGTCTATGATTTGTATGCAGTCACCAATCACGTCGGCGGACTCACGCGCGGTCATTACACAGCATATTGCCGCTACGATGCTGATTTTCCCGAGAGTGCAACGCTGTTCGGCGAAAATGCAGAGGATGCCGATGTTCAATGCTCCGAGTTGTGGTTTCGCTTTGACGACGAGAAGGTATCTGAGATTGCGGCGGGTGACGTCGTGACGGATGCCGCCTATGTATTGTTTTACAAACGCCGGACGCTGTCGTCCTACAATGTGCTTCGATATGCGCTTTGAATTCGCAGGACAGCAAGAGTGAGGACTGCCATATCCCGGGCATGTCTGACCCTATGCAGCATGCTCCGCGAGTACAAGCTAATGTGAAGATGGGTACACACTGACCCGGATCTGGCGCCCTGTGGGGTTCTAGTTAATCAAGCCTGAGCGCCGGACGAAAGCAGAGCGTTCGAGTTCATTTACAAACCATCATTGTAGTGAATGCACTACACATTAAACACGCGCGTATTTATTCAAACACGCTTCTTGCTGTTCGCGCCCATGCTCAGCCAAGGCTTGACAATTGCATGCCGCAGTGAAAACCCTTTGCACTGTGCATGTTGACATTCGGACGAGCTCGTTGGAGTTCCGCATAAGTCGTACTGCTAGGCGTGAGCTCGACCAGCTGATCGAGAAGGACGCTATAGCTGACGTGTCGCAGCTGCTTGCCTTCATCGAGTCAATAGGCCGCAGGAATGCCCCAGATGCTTCAATTAATCTTTTGGCGCACGATCAAACTGTCGGTAGCGTCGAATCATCGTCTACCTCCGACGTCTCCGGCTTCACCAATATGAACTGTCAAGCCTTCCTTTCTGCTTCGAAGTCGTCAGTCAGTGCTAAGCAGCCAGCTATCCACCCCCAAACCGTCCCTCATCATTAGTATCTCGGGAGTCAACAGTATCTTCGGAGTCGTCGTTGTCGCGAAGACCAAGCTTGGGAACTTCTACTTCATGCCGTGTCACTTCGTTTTTCTGCTCAAGGAGAGCACGCGTAGCTCCAGCTGCCTTTTCTTTCATCCACCACCTTGACCATCTCGCCACGCTGAAAACGTACATTTTCGTTCAACTCTCCAAGCTTCTTACGCACTATTCGTGCTCCGCCTGATTCTGTTTAACTTCTTCGTCGGCCGCTAACGTACGCAACTGTTCAAGTTGAAATTCAGCAAATTTCGTTGCGGCACTTGACGTCTCTAGGTCATCTTGCACAGTTTGCAACTCCTTCTCCAAGCGCTGGATCGTATCTTGGTAGAGATCAAATTTCCGACCGAGGCGCGAGCTGAGAGCATTTACACGGCGAGTCTCACGATAAATGTCGCTGACACCTCGATCGCCATCTTCGCTCGTGTCAAAGCCATCCATCGAAACACAGTCGTCGCCAACATCGTCCTCATCGCCTGAAGCGTAACAGGTAGAGTTTTCCGTGACAACGGATGAACTAGACTTTGGGCTGGCAGGACTGCAGAGTATCGGCTTCTTCGTGTACATCAGTTCCGTGACTTCGTCAAAGAGTGATCGATACGCATTCAGCATCTCCTGCATATTCTGCGTTTCTTCGCTTGGCAATGTCGATGGTCCAGAAGCTGGGATCGCTGGTTTATCTGTTTCGCCGTCCTGTTGAGGCTCCGTCGGTCCAACGTCGCTAACACGGCGTCGCTCTCCTTCAACAAAAGCTTTCCACTCAAGTAGCTCACAAAGTTCATGACGGATGAGGTCGTTCTCGGCTTCGGCTTCTTGAGACCGACGCAGCAGCTCCTCGATACGGTCTTGCTGGTCTTGCACTTTCTTATGCAAATTGCGCTCCCGCTTTTCGGCCGCTGCCAGCGAAGCAGCATTTTCGTCATGATCTGCCGAGTGCTCCTGGTCGTCACGGTGATGGTGTCGAACAGCAGCACTGCCGTATCGCTTAGGCGCAGGGAGCATCGACATTCGCGAGCCTGGAAGCCTGTTCGGCTTCGATCGCGATGCATGGCGACTGAACCTATACCGATCAGGATCAAACGCGACCTCTTTGTATTCCTCAAACCGACATATCATACGATAAAGCAGCATCTCAAGCCTGTCACAACGAGCTTCCACAACATCTCGCTCTTGGTTTTGCGGCTCACCTGCCGTTTCTTCAGTAACATCTGCAGGTCCGATTGCTCCACTTGCACACAGCAGCTTCTGCATTATGTCCAAAGCCGGCTCCCACCGGTTTTGCTTCTTCTTCATCTCCTGATCTCGAGCGTCAAGCTGCTCGACACTTGCCTTCGATGTCATTACAAGTCCGTCCTTACCAGAGTCCGATACAGCAGCCTTGGCTTCAGGCCTCGAGTCAGAATTGCCAATACTGCTGCGCAAGAATGCGATTTCTTCAACCAGCTTTTCGATTTGCTGTTTGAGCACGGGCACGAGAGAGTCATCATCCTCGTTCTGCACGGCATTGTTCTTGATAAACTTAGCACGCTGAGCGAACTTCAGCGTGCTCAACGTTTCAGTAAAGTACTTCTCTTCAGGTGAAACTGTCGCAACGATGCTCGTGATCGCATTGCCTCCCAAGGCGTCGCGCAACAGAAACGTGAGTTTCGAGTCACGATAGTGCACGTGCCTCTTTTGACCATTGCTGACGTCTACTAGCGCCATAATCACGTTGCCAAGTGCCGACAACGACTTGTTGATTTGGGCAGCCTCCTTCAATCGCTTGCCATGCACTCGAGTTTGTCGCTGCTTTTCGCTGCCTGCCAAATCCACCAAGTGCAAGCACGAACGGCGCGTACGTTTTGCGCCAGCCGACGTGCGCTCTTCCAACACCAGTTTGATCGAAAACACTGCGTGTGATCGCGAGCTCTCACGATTCATGTCGGTTGATGAAATATGACGGTTTTGCGAGCCCAGCTGCAGTAGCGTTAGCGCTTCTTCTTCACTGCCTACGCTAATCTCACGCAGCTGGTCTACATACACTTCCTTTGTGCGGTCTTCACGAAGGCTCTTGGGCTGCTGTGCAGCAACTGAGCCACTAGGCTCAAGTAGGTCAAAAACCTTTTCATTGTATATCTCCAAGTACGAACAGGCCAACTTGTACTGCAATGCGCACTCCATTTCCTCGCCACGATGAAACGCACCATTCCGTTCTCGCGACAGAGCTGCAAGTCGCTGGAATAAATAATCGACAATACGCGGCGTGAGTCCACGCAGCGACGACAGTCTCAACGACTGGACATCGGCTGTCGCTCCACCCAACATGGTGAACGTCTTGCCCGACCCAGTCTGTCCGTACGCAAAGATGCTGCCATTGTATCCACCGATTGTATTCTCCACGGCTGCTCGACCTGCGTCTTGAAAAATATCGTCCTGCCCACAATCTTCCGTGAACACGCGGTCGAAGCCAAAGCGCTTCTCCTGTTGCGACGCGGGTGCCAACGTCACCCCGCGTTGGTCAGGAGCCACGTCGATGCATTTCCGGGTATCTTTACCCGGGGACGGTCGGATCCGTAGCAGTACGCGGATATTTTTATCCGACGGAGCGCTTGCATCCGTCGGCAAGACAAAACTCGAGGCAGCAGTAATGGAACGTTCACGTACGTTGTTCAATTGCATGGACCGTGGCATCTTGAGAGGCGTCTGCGACTGCCCGTGGGTCACTGAGTAGCCAGGAACTTCTTGTGTCTCGAGTTCGTCCGTTGCTGCAAAATGACTGGCTCGAAACTGCAGTTTCTTGAGTGGCCGCTGGACTTGAGCGGGAGATTTCGTGCCCAGTATCGTTGGCGTTTGTGGCATCGCAATGGCCGCACCGTGAGCACGGCCACGAGCGAATTTCGCACCAGGAGGCGTTCCGAACGACGACGACAACGACGAACTTGTTTCTGCAGCTGCTGCTCTCGGCTTGAGGCTGCTTGGGTCTGGAATGCTACAGCAGCAAATGAACGGAACCGAGAGGAGCAGAACAGGAGAACGACAAAGCGGATCCAACAACGTCAGTCAAATCACACATACACACAAACAACAAACAGACACACGAACAATGAGCAGATGAGTTCAAGGCGCAAGTAAGCAGAAGGACGCGACGGGTATCGTACCGAGATGACAACGACGAGGGCATGTTTTTGACTTGTAAATTGTAAGCTACTGAAGGCCCAAAGAGACTGGTGGAAGTGGGGGTGCGGTGGTTGGCGACGCGTCAGGAGCGATTTGTAGAGATTGCGGTGAAAAGAGAGAGAGCGAGAGAGAGCGAGCGAGCGAGTGACGTGGTGGACCGCCTGGTCGAAACGTCTTGTACAGTGAGGCGCTCCTCGTGGACGTGTGTCGCTGCTGGCGGACTGGCAGCTGAATGGCAAATGACGACGAGAGGAGTGCGGAGTTTCAAACGCGTGATCACAACGACGGGGCTGAGGAGAATCAGGTTGTAGAGGGAGTCGGCGCGGCCCACGACAGTGCGATGGCCGAGTGCAGCCGCAACAACAATAACAACAACAACAACAACAACAACAACAACACTACACACACAGCGATAAATAGTATATTCATCCACCCACTTATGTATTGATTACGGAAGCTCCGCCGATGCATTGTCACTGGAAGAACCTGTGGCGGGAAAATGCCGCCGAGTAGATCCATCGACGACCAGCGACTTGACGGCGAGGACGTCACGAGGGGAACAGGACGTTGAGAAGATGATCAATCGGGTGTCTGATTGAGATCGTGGCATGCAAAACGTTCGTATTCGGCTGCAAGGAACGAGATCGACCATCTCAGTCCCTCTTCTTCTCCGCAATGAGCTGGTCGAGCTCGTTTACATGCCGTTTGTTTCCAGGTCTGACGTTGTGGTTAGATATATCAATGCGTCTAAGAAGCCGAGCTCGAGCTTTCGAGGACAGAGCGACGAGTCCTTGTCAAGACATGGGCGAAGAGACGATGGTGTCGTTCGTAAAGGGTAAACACTCGAGCTCTGTTTCTCCATGCGTGTTTGAATCATAGCAGACACGATAAGCTACTGCAGCCGTCGGAACCATCCGACAAGTCACGACGTTTCGGATCGTACGTGTACGATTACGCCACACGTTTTCAAGCTGACGGCGACGTCTCACCAAGTCTTCGAGTATACTAAACCGGAAAGTTGGCATGGCCGCTTCCCTTTTGACCGTGTGGATCCTCGCACGTCTTTGTAGTGTGCTACTTTACTCGTATCGGAGCTGTGCAACTGAGGGGCGTATCACCACCAAGACGACGTAGCCGTGGCACGTCGGCACGCGCTTGCGTCTTCATCACAAACGCAGCATTGATGCGAGAAAAAAGTTGACCCGAGCAAACTTCGCCTTGTTTTCGTTTCCTCGGTCTATCGTGCGCCGCTTGATAGCGCATGGGCCCAGGTGCAGACTGCTAACAGCCATGCGACAGCAGACTTGCGTAATGTAGGCCAACAACATATAACATGCACGACATGGGCCTTTCCTCACGACTGCCGCGATACCGTCCATAGCAATGCAGGTCTTCCACCTTACGCTGCGCTTGTTCGTCTCTTGTGCTTCAGTGCACTGCATCAACAACAAGTTTTGCGACCGTGTTCGTTGTCTCTGTGTTCGTTGCTGAGCTACACAGTGTCGGGTCGATCCCATTGCGTCATCGACTGTCGCTGCAACGGCAACAGCAATGCATCGCCAGTCATAATTCCTGCCAAAGACACGACCTCGAAGCAGAAGGTCACTTTCAACTCAGGTCAACAGGACGGACTGGGCGTAAACAGCCAACAGGTCTCGTCTCACTACAACAGAGTGACGTGGTCTTTTTCGAATCAGGGGCGAGTTTCGGTGGTGCAGAGGACGCAGTCGCAAGTGCCACCGACAATCGGTCAGCCGACGCATTAGTCGATCAAATCGGCCGTCGAGAGCAGATGGAGCACGACTGGCAACTTGTGTCGCGTCGCAGATGTCGTCGTCGTCAATGTCCTTCGCTGCACCTGTCATCAAAGGCGATTTCCAGAGGTGCGTTGGCTCTCGACCAACCAACCGACTGACTGACCGGTCGAGTGCCATTCCATTCCACGTCCCTTTGGTCCACGAGTTTGACAATAACCTGCGGTTGCATTGTATGTGGCTGAACGTACTGCAGCAGTCAACGACGAAGAGGTGGGGGCGACGCTGGCCGAAGTGTCGCCTGCAAAGCAGCTCCAAATCATTCAGCGCGTACGTGCTATTGCCGACGACAACCTGAGAGAGTCGGTGCTGCTCAAGGACGCGCTGCGATCGATCGGTAAGCAGTTCCACTCGACTACAGCTCCGACGTCACTCGGCAAAGACGCGGAAGATCAGGAGGTGAAAGACGAGCGACTGGTGGTCGTAGGCTATGGACTCGGAAGCTTCTGCGCGTCGGCCAATGCAGTGCACCAGTTGGGGTTTCTCGTGGCTTTGATGGATGCATTAAACAACGAGTGCAGACGAACTACCAGTGCTGAAGACTGTGCAAACTCTGGAGAGGTACAGCCTACAGCCGAGATCTTCGACCCAGCCATGAACAAGGTCGGTACCAGTCGAGCGAGCTGCGTGTTCTTGTCGCTGATAGGCAACACGCGCGACACGAGTTTCTATCGACTACTATCAGACCGTGACGTCGATGCTGTGTGATCTCTTGTGGTGTCTTTCGTTGTCACGCGTGTAGAGTGACGCAAGTATCGCCGAGCAGCTCGGGCTGAGCGTGATCCGGGAGAACGAACATGGGCGACGACGCGTCGTGTGCAACACGGTGTTTTTTATGCCTCACTGTGCGAAAGTGCTGTACGAAAACGTCCTCGCTTGCAACTGGGGTCCTGCTGTCAAGCAGCTCGTGATCATCGGCAACAGGTGAGGCAGACAAAAGCATTTTGCGACTCGGACTTTCTAGCACTCACTTGCATTCTTCGCGCTCTTACCTACTAGTTTTTCAGCGTACGGAGACCGCGTGCTTGCAGGTGACGGGCGTCGACAACTCTTGCTCGAGAAAGTTTTGCCCTATCTGGAAGAAGTGCACTTGTCGTGTGGAGTGACCAAGCAGCACGAGAACTTTGCATGCTACGAGGCGGCCTTCAATGACCTCAGCGTGCATCGATTTCCACCTGAATTGCTGGGCAGTGCACTAGCCAGCGACTTGGACCTCATCGCGAGGATGGCTGCTGTAGCAAGTTCCGCCGAATCGAAAGAGCTCGACGCCTGAGGCGATGCGATGACCTGCAGTAGTCCCACGTGCGAGCTCGTGCCAGCCAAAAGCAGACCCACGTACCGCCGGATGACACGTGAAACGTCAAGAACTGGCCAGCAACGGATTTGTAAAGGCGTTCAGTCGAGATTCGATGCAGTTCAGCCCGATCGACGCCCGTTACATCTTCTTTCGTGAGACGCTTGAGGCTGCCAACAACGTCTGCAGCATCGCACACTCGGCGTGCTCAAGAACGGTCTGCGCCCATGAAAATTCGAGCGGCGTCCACATTCCGTCCCGCACTCGCTTCTCGTTCGGCTTAGGCCACCTTCAGCAGTTTTCTTCGGACGTTAAAGCATTGAATCGATTCTGAATTCGCACACTCGAAAGCCGCGTATGCCGGTTACACGGCCCATCGGCGTCGCGCCTGACGCTCTGTTCTGTGCTGCAGTGTGTCGACATATCTCACCTCGAGAGACGAAAGTGCGACAGCTTTCGGGCCGGACGCGACCTGACACTTTGACGGATATGGCCATGTCACCACCACCTGTTGTGACTTGCCAACATCCTAGAAAGAGCAGTCCGCGTGGTAGCTCGGACAACAGCAAAGAGCTGGACGACGACGACGACCAAACCGGTGTGCAGCTTTCGTTTGAAGCAATCGATCGACGATCCATTAACGAAATGACCATGTCCAAGTCCCGAGCTAGCACCACGGCTTTCTCGAGGAGAGTAGGTGCCGTCGCGGCGTTCACGAACGTAGGCAAAGAGCGGTCTCTTGTCGTGCGTAAAGGGTCGTGGGGTCTGACAACCGTTTCGTGTGCTTTCTAAATGAACAGATCGGCCGCAGAAGTGACGAAGGCAGAAGCGGTGATCGAGAAGACCCTGACGACAAGACCGCTCCTGCTGTTGCAACAGCCCGGGCTTGTCTTGACAGGCAAAACGTGGTCGAAAAGTGCGCGGCTCGACCTCGACAAGGCTGTTCCAGCAGTGACGATCGCAGCACGGCTAGGCGGACCTCGAAGTGCCCGCCTGCTACTACAAGGCCAACGAGCGCAGATTTTTCAGCACATGCACCGCCAACTGCTGCGTCGCCAGCAGTTTTCGTGTTACCAAAGGTGACAACCCGCAAGGGCGAAAAGAGCTTCCTCGAGTTCAATCAGCACTATGCCATCACGAAGCATCTTGGTCAAGGCTCGTACTCGACGGTAAAGCAGGTGACGCACCGCAAGAAAGGTGGGGTCTACGCTTGCAAGATCGTGGACAAATCGAGTCTCTCGGCTGCAGATCGCGCAGCACTTTCTCACGAAGTGCGCGTTCTGTCCAGCGTCCACCACGTGAACATCATGCGGTTGTACGAAGTCATCCAAGACGACGCCAAGTGCTACATGGTGACGGAACTAGCTGGCGGCGGCGACTTGTTCGACCGGATTGTCAAGCAGGGCAAGTTTCCCGAACGCGAGGCACAAAAAGTGACGGCGGCTCTAGTCGAAGCGCTGCAGTACTGCCACACGCACAGCATTATCCATCGTGACGTGAAACCGGAGAACGTGCTGTTCTCAAATGACGACGTGAAGCTCTGTGACTTTGGGTTTGCTCGACAGCTTGCTCACCCAGAAGAGCAGGTCTCCGACTCATGCGGTACGCCGGGGTACGCAGCGCCAGAGATCTTACATGGACGACCGTATGGCCTCGAAGCTGACGTGTTCTCACTCGGTGTCGTGACATACATTATGCTGTGCGGCTACCCGCCGTTCCCAATGAAGCTTGCCCACTTACGCAAGCATCGGTTCAATGTGCAGTACCCGGTAAAGGACTGGGCTGCAATCGACCCTGATGTCAAGACGCTCCTTTCCAAGATGCTGGACGTCGACCCCGGGGTGAGACCCTCCATGGCAGTCCTTCACACACATCCGTGGATTCGAGCAGGAAAAGAGATGTCGGAGCGCGCGCGTCAAGAGGATCGAGAGCGTTGTCAGTTTGCTGATGTTGTTCAACAACAGCAAACAGCTTCGGCGATCCGCAAGCAGCTCGTGATGAATGGATGCGAGGCAGTGAAATATGGCCGCAACGGTTTTCGTCATCGCACCAAACTTCGCTTGTCGGAAGACGGCAAAGTTCTCAGCTGGCAGCCAAAGCTGCTCAAGCGAGGCCTACTCCGCTGTCAGAACGCACGCGGTTTCGCGAGCTTGTTTCACGTTCGCGACAGGGGTTACGGCCAGCCGGGGCAGCAATTCAGTGAGTGCCGAGCCACTCGAGATGTTCGTACTGACTGTGCTGCTGGTGCGTCAACTGTCAAGCACCCTGAACCGGAGCAACGTACTTGTGCTGCTTCTACTGCATGTCCCCATTCTACCAGTGGCAGCTTAATGGGCAACACTTGCGACGCTGTTCGTGAAAAGCGTTTGTGGTGGCGTTTGCCATGTCGCGAACGTGATGTGAAGACTGGTCGCACAACAAGCAGCGGATTCACGCGCAACTTGTCTTCTCGAGAAACGAGCAACACCTCGCCGTCGCCACTAACGCCTCCAGCAGCAAAGATGCTGCGGACGCAGCCACCAAGATTGACATTGAAGAGCGTTGCAACACCTCCAACCAAATCTTTGGACCGCTGCTTGGATGACTCCATTCATCTGCACGATGTTTGCAAGATCCTTTCCGGTGATGATGCACCGTTTTTCGCTGGCCACGCATCGAGTCTGCCACATCCACCCAAACGTGCCGTCGATCCGGCTTGCGTGTTGTCGATATACAGTCGACACCGTGAGCTTCACCTCGCGTTCTCGGACGAACGTGTACGCAATGGGTTCAGGTACTTGCTTCAGCAAGCTACGTTGCCACTCCAGCACTGTGATCCAAGTCAGTCAGAGTATCCGATGGAATCAAGTCCAACGCCGTCACGGCCAAGCGCACCATAGAAGTTGTACGATGAGCGATAGGGAAGTTTGCAAGCACGACGTCTCGCGATAGATGGCTTGATGATTCCGCGAGGTGTAAGCAGGTGAGGGACGACAGCGACGAGAAGTTCGTGACAAAAGCGTGAAGATGTGACCTCAAACGACCAAAACGACGGCGCTGGATTCGACTACAAGTCCGCGTAACACCGTCATCACAACGTAATGGTAGAATAGAAGCACCATTCCACTTATCTCTCTTGATGTCAAGCTGCCGGGTCTACAATCATCTGCAGTTGACGTCGTCGGCAAATCGACCGGAGATTCTAGTGATCGACAGATTCTAGATGTTGTCGCCGCGCCATGGACGGCAGAGGACCTGCCTTCTCTTCTCCACTTGAATCCGTGCACACAGCACTCGATCCTGCAGCGTGAAGGTCGTCAGCGTCGCGGAAAGCCCAATGCCGACTTACTGGATTGTCTCGAATCGTCGAAGGCAATGTGCAGTGTGACCTCCGACGAGCAAGAACGACTCTCCGATTGAAGATAGATGAGCATGCTAGGAAGACCGAGATCGCATTCACGAACAGCAAGTAAGTTCGGCGGGACACAAGCTCAGAGGCGTGAGCCTTGATCATGAAAATGAGCGCCAGCTCGCCAATCTGACAGAGACCCACAGCAGCCATCAGTGCCTTTCGTGCATTGATTCGGAAGAATGTCATCACGCCAGTCATGGACACTGTCTTGATACACACAATCAGTAGCACCATGGACAAGACCTCGCCAGCGTTCCAGAGCAAGAACGTCGGGTTCAAGATCATGCCGACGCAAGCAAAGAACATGCTACCGAAGAGATTCTCCATTACACGCATCGACATGAAGGCCCCCTTTGCTCTGCCAGACACGTGCACAAAAGCCAGTCCAGCCATGAAAGCCCCGCACTCGAGCGAAAGTCCAATCATCTCGGAGAAGACTGCCATAAACAGGCATACAGACACTACTCCAAGAAGAACCAGCGGCGAGTTATGCACTTCTTCCATCGCTGTCAGAAAATGGAGTAGTTTTGGCACCACGTGTCGGTGCAGGTAAAGCGTCATGCTCACGACCACAGCGTATGCCACTACAGTCCGTACCATGGCCACACCGATCCATTTGACGGAACGCACGGAGAACCATTCAGGAGTGCCGAGAGCAAAGCTCATCAGTATGTCTTGAATCGCAATAATGGATGTCACCGTCTACAGGCATAGCAAGCAGCACCCCGACGATCGTTAGCCAAGATACATTCCTTTGCTCGTTTAGCTGTACATACCCGGCCGAAAGATGAGTCCTGAATCTTGTTTTCTCGAATGTGCTCGTACAGAGGAGCGGTTGTCGAGAAGCAGACGCCTAGACCGATGATCAGCCCTTCGATGAACGAACTCGTCCATCCAATGTGAACCGCCACTCCAGCAACTAGCACCACCGTGGACACGATATACGCCACACCACCGACGAAATACTTTCTGAAAATGTCTTCTGGCTCTTGCGGCGAATATGCGGCCCCGTGTCCAAAAAGCAAGAACACTGACCCGAAAAGCGAGATCGTTTCTACTTCCTTATACCGTCGGACGACTCCCAAACACGACGGTCCCACGAGCGCTCCACCCAGCAGATACCCAGCATGCGGAGGTACATTAAAGTACGTGGCCACGATCCCTCCAATCGCAGATCCACCAAGCAACACTGCGATTTGTGCCAACAGCTCCATATCATAGTGCAACACGGCTGGATCTGCCATCTTCTCGACCGCTTCCAACTTCTTGAGCTGTTCCGTGTTCAGTCCTGTCGTGTGTTTCAAATGTCCCGTCTCATAGTCCATGTCTTTGATCCCGTCTTTTTCCAGTTGCTGCTCGCGCTCTTCTTCTTCTTGCACTGCCAACACGTCCTGGAGCTTCTTTGACTGCATCGCTTCCTCTTGCTCGACCCGCTCGAGCTCGAACAACGTGCGATTGAGTCCTCGAGCCAATCGTTTCAGGTTCGATTGCACCGTCACCAGGTCATCTCGGACCTGCCGTCTCTCTTCGAGTTGGACTCGCGTGTACTTAAGTATCTCGTTCGTCGTGCCCATTGCTTGCACACTTTTGTCCACCGAGCGCCCGAGCTGCTCAACAAGATGCAAATGGTCTTCGACTTGCTCAATGGAGACATCGGCAGCCGTCTCGACCGACACAACCGGATCTTGAGACCCATTATCGCGATCGAAATGGGCACTTGTAGCGTGCAACGAGGCTGCTGTGGCTTCGAGACTGGAATAGGGCACTGCGGTTGGATCGATTGTGGGTGCCCGAGACGCTTGGAGCGAAGGGTTGTCACGGCTACGTAGGACGTCCACGGGAGCTACTGCGTTAGTCGATAGACATACGGGGAAGAAGAGGGAGGGCGCTAGAAGGAGGGAGACAGTGATCGGTACGGCGGTGCCACATGCGACAAGAACCATTGAGATGACAGGCGGCAAATGGGTCGCGGAGAAAGGGGACTCATTTTTTATGGGTACGAGATGAGCAGCTCCTGCTGCTTTGCTATCTCGTGGATTGGGTCCACCTGACTTGAGTGGTCTAATCACAGAGCAAGCGGAATATCGTGTGCCGCCAACGCGGATCACGAGTGCAGATATAAGACGTTTTTTAGCTCACCAGTTGCGACTGTTGCCGCATGCGGTGCTTTGGGTGGAACACTCAGGCAATTTGACATCTTTTGGATTAATATGGGGACGAAACGATCGAGTTGTAGCTTTTGAGACAACATGTTCAGCGCAATTGGACATTGTGCGCTGGACAAAGCTCGTACATGAATGTGCTGCGTACGTGAGACTGGCACGGTACACTCTCCACATCATGTACGACGATAGATGTCCTCCCTAGATGGCATCCTTGTGGCACTTACGGCTGAAGCAGCTCAACACCGGAATGTTGACCATCAAGTGCTTGGTGTCGATGGTTACAACAAGCACAAGCTTTGTCGACGTTGACAAGTTGCACCACCGATAAGCACTGGAAAGCTTGAGATATTGGCGTGTTGAAGTTGAAAGTGTCATTGCTACTTGTTGTGCTCATGTTGGATGGTCGTAGCTGGCTCTGCCCTAGGCATCTCAAACATTGCTCGCTTTGCGTCCTGTTCGGTCCAATTGCTGACATGCGTCGTTGAGCTGTTGGAGTAAACCGCCTGCGCTCGTTTTACAAGATGCAGATGTGCTGGATGAATCAACGATAGTGTTGTATCGCTTACCCTTGATCGTAAAGGTCGGACATTGCAGAAGACTTCGGCTGCAGCCACCGCCGCACCGTCGAAGCTCATGTTGCTTCCATCTGGCCGACAGTTCCATTATCCGAGGAGCCTGTTCACGCGACCCGACACGAAGCTCGAACAACTTTGACATGACTGCATTCCATGCGGGTCTGAAGTACTTAGCGTTGATGCGCTTGTCGACGAAGCTGGTAACTACCCAGCGCGAGCACTGCGAGAAAACGCCACATTTCACGGAGCTTCTCGGCCATCAGTGGTGCGCGATCGAGGACACAGGTTTCCGTTACATGGCGATGCGGTCAGTGTCGCATCTTCCAGAACACAGTTCTTCGCAGTGTGTACTGCGAGATGTGGGAAGCGTGTCCAGTTCGTGCCGAGTGGCTACATGGCGCAGTCGTTACATCTTCTGGCGCTCGTGCTTCCGCAGAGAATTTCTACGGGAGTGGGACAGTTCAGTGCGCCCGCTTTATCACACGGACACCCATCAACTGCCCCCCCTGCGCCCAATGCAGCCAGTTCCTGTTTCTGATCCAGGTCAGAAACGACTGTGGGATCATCCACTATCACTGCCTATCGCTACTTCTGCGTGGCCAATTTCATTGACCACGCGCGTTCCAGTACTCGCGTCAATTCGTTGAAGCGCCAGGTCTTTGGCGGTAGTTGCAGCAGGTACGGACGATGGCATCTGACACAGTGCATAGCAGCTGCACGAACAAGAAGGAAGATCAATTAAACGCGGAGGAGCCGAGACAATCAATTGGGCAGCTGCTTATGTACGCAATATCACATGATCGTGCTCTTCTTGCTTCCCCGAAAGCGCCGCGACATGCTGACCTGTGCTCGTCTCGGTCCACTCCATATGTGTTGTTTCGGCGCAGCACTACGTCAATCCAATAGCGTATGCACACAAAAGAGCTACATGCATTGTGGCGAACGCGTCGAAGCATGGCGACAAAACGATCGGCCGCCAAGCTGTGTGTGCCAAGCGTTCATGTGCGCATGGAATCTTTAGCAGAGTAGTGACGGATGTCAAGACGAAAGTCTGGCCGTGGTATTGCGTAAGAGAGATTTGCAACTACTGCACTTCTTCGCCCATGTGCTCGAAAGGTACACGTGTCGTGCCACTCGAAACGGCTGAGGCACATAAGCTCGCAAGATAGTGGCAGAAGGCCCACAAAAGAATCGATCAGTGACGTAGCCTGGAGCAGGAACGACGGTGAACTTTCTAGCATGGTCAGTTAACGATGACGACACATGAGGCACTTGACTCGATGCGAGTAAACGCGCTCGCAAGGCTCGGACCGATGAAGCTTTCAATCACATTCGGATCCTTTTTGGCAGTGCTTTGAGTACAATCACATCAACATCGGTCGACGCTGGCCAAGTCGTAACGCAAGCAGTGCTTCGCTCCGTTTTGTTCCGCGTCCATATGCACTCTCTCGTAATGTCGCGTCCTTGTTCCAGGGATGCCGCAACAGCTGCAAGTGCTCGTGCTGATCACCGCGGTGAGACATACAACCGGATCGGAGCTGCTAGTGAATAAAAGGGAGTTATGGGTAAAATGGGGACGATGGACGAGCCCGTGAAAGCGCCAAACGTTTGTGTCCGGGAAAAAATCAGGCTTCTGGCCAGAGTCGTTTGCCGCCTCTGCTGGTCGTGGCTTTGGTCATTGCAAAATTTGCTCGCTCGTCTCAAGATGGGCGTCTACTCTATCGTACTCCTGTCTGTTATCGCAGTCCTGACCTGTATCCAGAGCTCCTCGGGTTCCAGTTCCAAGACGATGCAAGCCTTCCCCCTGCCCGTTGATGGTTCTCTCGTCTATGGCCACAACGGCGTCTCTGGCGATCGACAGTCAATATCAAATGACACCGCAGGCAGTGAAGAGAGGGTGTTATCTGGAACCTCTTCGCCGATCGAAGTAATGGCAGAAAATATGGTATCGCAGCTCAAGAAGGCATTGCATGCTACACCTGACCCAACGCTTACTAATGGCGCTTGGACTCAGCTCATGAAATCGGATGCCCACGTTTTGAAGCGCTACAAAGAAATGCTGGTCAAGGTAGAAAGCCCTGAAGCGCTTCACGATGTCGAAAAGAAGCTTCGTTTGCTGGAGAATGGAGGGGCAACAGGACTAGAAAATGTGCTTGATGCGGTCCGAACCGCCGAAAAGGAGCTTGCGGACCAGGATGTCAGTCTCGCGAAAACGAAGCTACTGCAGCAGCCACAACCCTGTCCATTTGAGAAGTACGTCGTGATGTTGAAAGATGCACAGATACTTGGATCACAACATTCGGTAAACTGGTACGCCGTGGAAAAACTTGTCGAATTATATAACACGATCGCGAAACCGCCAGCTGATAAAACGCTGTTGGATTTGTTTCTGATCGGCTTCAACAACGTTCCCAACGGCTCACGGCTTTTGTCGATCTCGAAGAAGAGTCGTATAAGCGGGCCGAAGGCAGAACATTTGCAGAATAAGATATTTGAGAGCTGGATCAAGGGAGAGACATCCGCCGAATCTGTATTCAACTTGTTGAAGATCTCTAGATTAAGTTCGTCAGACGCCGTGTACGAGAAGCTGGATGCCTTTGAGCGGTACTTTGCACTGTTCAACGCGCGTTTCCCTGACCGAAAGACCAACTGGAGCACGCTTTTCAACGAACACAAGGTTAGTCCCACGGTAGCAAATACCCTGATAGCGAGAGGGGAAAAGCTCAACCTTGTCGATTAGTAGGATAATACGCTTGTTCTGCGTTGGCTTGAGGAAGTCAGGACGCCTGTTTCAACAGCTATCGACGAATGATCGGAGAAGCATTCTGACACTGATTGGAACAAGACGCTGTAGACCATGCTGCGTATGCGTCTGGAACTGACCTTATACAACGTCAGTAGCCTTTGCTTGCATAAGTAAGGTAAACGAAGAAAAATACAAAAAAAATCATTCAGTTTAATGTCAACTTCGAAGATATAGCGCTCAAATCATCGAGAACATATACGTAGAACTAAACTGTAGCAAAGAGCGCCTTGGTCAGGATACGCGCACCAAGACGCAAGGGGACATGTGAGATCAATCGGTAAACCATGTTGTTGCATCATACATAAGGCCTGGTATACTTCAACACGATATATGTTCGACTACAATGTCGTGGCTTGCAGACTCATGTTTTTGGGCGGGTTCCACGATATGTCGACTAACAACAGGCATATATACAGATAGGTGTAATTGCACTTTCAAGTATACAGTTGTGTAGCTAGCGTTTGGTGAATAGCACTGGGCGTAATCGAACGCGACACAATTCGGCCTGCTTTGCGGGCTTTGTGGTGTTTTCTCTAGTATTTTTTCACATGCGACTCGCATGTACCAGAGCTGGTGCAACGGTACCACATGCTCTTGGTGTAACGGGGCACACCCTTGCGTGAACTTAACGCAAGGGCTTTGGGCGCCCGATAGACGTACACGAGGCAAATGAGTAAGCGTAGATAAGGTAAAAGTAGAACTGTTATATTGATATAATTAAGTCTTTTAACCACTGTCTCTCTGTTTGGCTTAACTTAATTATGCTAATATAACTGAGTGTATGGTGACGTCTCGTCACCACTCATTGCGCGCGTCTTGCGGCGATTGGTGGGTTGATATCATCAAGATATCAACCAATGAACAGACTCTTTGGTCGACCCATCAATATCACCACTATTGGTGATATTGTTGAAAGAATATTCAACATAATATTCTTTATCGTCATTTCCTCTCTCAAATGACAATTTCCATGTAACGGGCTGCCCCGTTACATCACCCCCCTTAACTGATAGTCACCGTGTGACTATCGAAATATGGAGGCCACCCGTTGGCCACCATTGGGACAGGGAGCACTTGTTGGGTCCGTTCCGTTCACTTTCCGCTTGACCTCGCATAGTTAACATGTCTATGCGAGGTGGCTCAAGACCCGCACAGCCTGGTGCTGTGTCAGCCTCTGCGGCAGACGATTCGTCGTCTGCTGCTCCTTCTTCGCCTGCAGCAACAGGTGCTGCAGGTGCACGCGGTATCACACCGCGTGTGCATGATGACCTCGACGTAGAGGTCATCTACTCTGGCGAGTCAGACGTGTCTGACTCGGCCAATGCGCCAGAGGCGTCTCGCTCACCGGCGACGCGTCAGTGTTCGCCAAGGCCACTGCCGAACGAACGGACTCGTGATTCGCATCACAGTCTGTTCGGCAGTGATGATGAAGGTGATCAGGGTGGTGAAGAGTATTACTCCTTACCACCACCGACTCGTGCATCTTCGCACGAGCGTGATGACGATGGTGCAACCCATCGTCATACTGATAACCGTGGTACCAACAAAGGTACCACTGTGAAGCGTGATGAGCCGAAGCCGTGACGTTTGCCCGAACGGCTCATCAATAGCTTGTCTCACAAGACAATCCAACACCAAAGAATACCCTTGTTCGATGCGGCTGAGTTTCACGGCTTGAGTTCCAGCGCGAAGAACTTGCGCGCTGATGAAGATTTTTATCTCGATGTCTTTATTAGACATCGATGGTACAACGGCAACCAAAAGCGTGACAAAGCATCGCTTTTGGCTGCGTGGAACGCGTTCGTCCAAAACGTAAAGAATTTTGGACGCGAAGGGTGGCTCAAGAAACTTGAGGCAACACGCCTCAGATCGAAAAGCGAACGCCAACCTGTGCCAGATATCGGTTGCACTGTTTGTCCAGTGAGGCAGACATTCCTTGCCTCACATGGGGAGACCCTTGTGCGAGTTGTGTTGACAACTCGCAGCGTGCACATAGGGACGTGTATTCCCTAAGTTCGCCCTAGGGAAGGGCACACATCTCGGCTGAGATGCGTGACGCGATTGCAAACTTGCAATCCGTCAACAATCACCAAAAGCGCGTGTTCACCGATGGGCCCAAGGACTCATCGGATGGGTCTCGTCATATTGGTGAACGCGACCTTCAACATCTATAAACAGATGAGAGCGGGTCTCCCAGCTGTTACAAGAGGATGGATACCTCCGTCACTGGACGAGGTAGCTCGTCCTTGATCCTGAATCGTCACGGTGATTCAAGATACGCTCCACTAGAAAGCGTTGACCACCGTGAGCATCCACCAAAGATTGTGGTGGAGGAGGAAAGACCTCCTCCAGATGATTCGGCTCACCATCTCGACCCTTACGAGATGGATCGCGCAATCGATGAATTGCGCGATGACTTGAAGCACGAGCGCGACCGGCGCTACGCTTTGACTGATACCGTGCGGAAGAACCGCAAGGATCGCGAGGCTGATCGGGCGAGGGATCGCGCCGATTATGCCACAGCGCAGCTTCAGGTCGAGCGGGATGCCCGCTCCCTATTCGGCGAGCTGGCGACAGCTCGCGGGGAGATCTCTCGGTTGAGTTCCGAGGTATCATATCTGCGCGACCAGACGGATCGTCTGGAGCGCGAACGCAAGAACTTGATGGATGTTCTTGAACGTGGGGGCTATCTTCATCGGAAGAAGAAGGCTCGTACTGACAGTACGGTATGAGCCTCCCCATGTAAAACGTAGGATGCGTGCGCATCTTTCGTGGCAATTCGAGTGTGTATGCATTGCCCTTGCGATGCAACACTCGAAATGGCCCAATGTATTTCGGCAGTAGTTTACTACTGCCGACACTAGTGACTGCATGTCCAGGTAAGTTTACCGTATACAGTAGTACTAGGTCATTAACTTTAAATGAAAGAACATTTGCTCTTTCATTCTTGTCTGCGTTCCGTTTCTGGCGGTTCACCGCATTTGCGATGGAGTCCTGAACGAAACGGAATACCGCATCTTGAGTCAGCAGGAAATTCTCTGCTGAATCGTTGTTTTGTCTTTCAGTGCGCTTCGTGCGCACTGCTAAGAGATTCTTCTCTTCTTCATCGGGGTTGTCTTCTCCCTCGCTGAAATCATCGTTGACTATGCTGAATATACCAGCATCGTCATCATCATCTGAATCACTATAGCGTCGTCGCTATTATTGAGGTGATTTTCTTCATCGATGTCGACCTGATCGACATCGGCATCATACGTGACGACGTTTGCGTCGACACGTGATGAGCAAGGGCCAAAACGGTTTTTGCTCGAGCGAGTCCCCCCCCCCTTATCCAAGAGTTACACTCTATAAGGGTGGGCACTCGTGGATGGCGTAGGCCATTCAAGTAAAACGGTGTGTGCTGTGTTGAAGCATGCACCGAGTTATTGATGGCGAATTCCACCATGGGTAGAAATTCGCTCCAACTCGGAAACGAGTGGACATATCCTCGAAGGATCTCTTCGAGGACACGGTTCGCACGTTCCGTCTGACCATCTGTTTTGGGATGGTCAGAAGTGGACATCTTCAATCGTGTTCCGAGATAATGGAACACGGTTTGCCAAAATGCCGCCGTGAACTGAGGGTCACGGTCGGATACGAGTTCACGGGGTAGCCCGTGGAGTCTGAAGACCGTGTCGAGAAAGACATGAGCACAACCCTGAGCCTTGATCGACTCGGGGACAGCAGCAAGATGGACCATCTTGCTGAACCGGTCAACAAACACAAGAATAATATTATTCTTGTGAGCGTCTTCGGGAAAACCGAAGACGAAGTCCATTGAAACGGACTACCAGCACTCTGTCGGAACAGGCAGAGGCTGCAATGGAGCACGGGATGAAGGGCTAGGCTTCAACCGTTGACAAACCTCGCAAGCACGTATGTACTTGCGTACAAACTGATACTGGCGTGGCCAGTAAAAGTCACGACTTACCGTGAGGTAAGTCTTTTCTCTACCACGATGGCCGTCTGTTGGGGCATCGTGACACTCATACATGATGCATAAACGCAAATCATGATGAGCGGGTACGACGACACGAGGCTTGTCGTCGGCAATAGCTGTATAGTACAGCAATCCGTTGCGTTAACTATACCGATCCGATGAGGATCGGTACAAAGCTGGTAAATCCCTCACTGATTTACTGGATGGATTCACCAGATGATCCATCAATCGCAGAAGATCTTTATCTTCTGCGTATGCCTTTCGTACGTCGTCAAGTAATCTTGACGACGGGACACTGACTGACAGTGTCGCAACAGTGGCTTATCCTCACTGTTTGGTTGTGCGTCCGGCTCGAAATCGGGCCGGCGCGAGAGCGCATCAGCGACGACTTTTAGTCGCTCTGGTTTATACTCCACGGAGAAGTTATACTCCGCGAAGAAAGACAGCCACCTCGCCATCAATTGCGAGAGGTGTGGGCTGTTTGCGGCCGTGCGTAATGACGCATGGTCCGTATAGACAACAAACGGTCTATCTCCCAATAGATAGACGCGAAACTTAGCCAGTGCGTACTTCATGGCAAGGGGTTCCTTGTCTTGCACTGGGTAATTGCGCCCAGCTGCCTGCAGCTGACGCGACTGATAGCAGATGACGCGCTCCGCGCCATCTGCGTCGAGCTGCATTAACGCACAGCCGATTGCAAAATCGCTGGCGTCACAGACCACATGAGCTGGTCTGTCCTGATCTGCAATCGCCAAGATCGGCGACTGCATCAATCTTCGCTTGATACCTTTAAAGGAACGCTGGCACTCAGAGTTCCATGACCACTTGAAATTTTTCTTGAGCAAGCAAGAAAGATGAACAGTCATCTCGGCGTAGTTGCGCGAGTACTTGTTCAAGTACGCCGCTAGCCGAAGAAACTTCCTTAGTCCCTTGACATCGACTGGCACTGGCCAGT